GCTCTTTTTTTTTGGTTTCAATAGTCTCATGCTCTGTTTTTGTTCAGCAATTAAGATTTTAGTTACAACTTTATAATAATTCATTTTCATAATCTTAGATAGATTATAAAATATATAAAATTTGTATAAAAAATAATCCACGCGTAGAGCGGATAATCACCTAGTATATACTTATAAAAACTCTTCAAAACATTTGGATAATACTGAAATAAATATATCCCTAATGCAAAAAATAAAACTGGTTACTTTTACCAAGAGAATAGAGGTCACAAATCCTCTATATATTAATTGAGGAGACATTTTGTGAAAAAATCATATGTATCATTCAATGAGAATTTTAAAAGACATATCAATTAAATTAACCAATTAAAATATTCTAATTAAGTCTATATGCTATGTTGAAAATCTCTACATATTTATATTAACTTTTTTAACATAAACTCATAAATACATGTCATAAATTTAAATACAAGTAAAATGTAATATTTTCATATTTTAAAATATTATATAAGATAATGTTTTAACGATAAATTATTTACCGATATCAATTACTTTATAAAAGTTGTATTATGTACATTTGTATACCATGTGATTGATGATACAATTTTTTGTTTATATCGTTTAATTGTATCCATATTTATTTTTAATTTCTACTGTATACTATAAAAAATTATGAATTTTTTTTGAATATTTTAATCTCGCGGGACAAAAGTCTAGTTTGGTATAAACATCGAATCTCTGGGATTGAGAAAAAATCATTAAAGTGTAAGTAGTAAATAAATCGGCTGAAAACAACTTTAAAAGGTTCAGCGATCGTGTAGCCCATTCTCCTAGCCAAATAAGTTTGGCGGTCCTATAAGAATTTCGTACGATTATCCCTTTCACGCCAAGTCATCTTTAGTCCGGGATGCATGTGTTATGAGTCCACCTAATTAGAGTAGAGAAGAAGTCAGCCTAATTTTGAAGAGATAGAGAGCGGGAGAGCTGGAACTCCTAATTAGGTTAAGTCTTTGGCTCTCAAGAATCGATAATGCTCATGGTTCATCATCTGCCATTGAGGATTACAGCTGACTGTTTCAGTTGGATTTTAGTGATATGTAAGCTTTTTATCTTCCAAATGATTTTCTTTCTCTAGTGGGTTGACAAAAATATGCACAACAGTCTATGCTCCATTCGTGCAGGGGAGATCATGCTTATGACGAGGGACTAAGCCAATGGTTTGGAACTCGATAAGATCAAGACAAAGGTGTGTTTAATTCTTTCTTTTTAAAAAAGTTTTCGAACAACATCGAAACACGTTTTTTGGTTTGAATATAATTTAACATTCATTTAAAAATAAAATAAAAATTTCTCTAAGCAAAGTGTATGTCCAGTTGTACAGTAACACATAGGCTAAATGAGAGTAGACTGGGACACGACTAGGCCAAGTTTGGGGAGGACATTTAATAATTGGTCATTTGACCGAAATTAAGGGATGCCGGCTACGATCAAATGCAATTGTATTACTAGTTTGAGTTGTGCTATACAGTTTCTGTTTTTGAGAAAATGGACAACACATGTGGTATACATATGAATATGATATTTAGCTATTTGTTTGTATTAGTTTTGTGTTCAAATCCGGTAAAATGTTTGTGTGACAAAAGAAGA